CAACCCTTGTTCCGTGATAATATGACCTAAATATATAACTGCATGACGCAAAAATTCACATTTCATAGGTTGTACTTTCAAATTATAATCCCTAAGTAGTATATATTATATACCATTCCTGGAGCACCTCATAAAATATCAGTAAAAGATCACAAAGAAAACAATGTGCAAAAAGATCAGAAAATTGAAATGAAATAATAATAAAAATATTTTTCGCAAAACTTAATTATTAAAAATAAAAATCGAAATGCAATAATAATAAAAACATTTTTCACAAAACTTATTAAATGCAAAAACCCCCAAAATATTTTTCATAATACTTATGAAATTAATAATTAAATCGAAATGCAATAATAATTAAAATATTTTTAATAGAATTGTTCTATTAAAAATAAAAATCGAAATGTAAAAAACTTAGGTATATATTTAAACGCGTGTCCAATTCGGACACACGTTAGATATCAAATATTTTTCTAATCTTTTTGATTTTGATTTCTAATCAGTGTATTGAGATGGTTTACAAAATCGTTTCTATCTATGTTTGTTTTATAATGTCCCCAAGCTAATGTATCAATACCATTTTCCAAAATAAATCTTTTATCATCATAAACACTTAAAGCTTTTTTGTTTTGTTCTACAGTAAAAATATCATGTTTCTTAGTTCTAAATAAATTTTGTTTAACATATTTTGATTCTTTTGTTAGTAAACATTTTTCAAAATCATTAAAACATATTTTATTTTCTACCAGAGGCGGCTTGTAAGCACCTTCTACCGTCTGACCCTCTACCTAAAATTTGGAGTGGGTGGGTGGGTGGTCAGTGTTTCAGTGCTCAGTAGTTTGGTTAAATGAAACTCAAAAGAATTTAATAGTAATATATAGGTAATAAATGTTGAGAAATGAGAACCGTATCTTATTTATATTATATAAATAAATAATTAATTAATTAATTTTTTTTTTTTTTATTTTAATTAATTTTATATTATTTATATTTTTTTATATTCCGTTTTAAAACAATGCCAATGTAATAGGTACTATCTAGGTATATTATAATTTGATTAGATTAAAATATTATATATTAAGCTATAACTAAAATAACAGGACCAAGTATAACTGGGATAAGCACAGAATAATATATATTATTTAATTATTATATATAATATAATGACGTATTCTATAACAAATGTTATATTATTATTACAAATCTGATATCATTAGCACGAGCGTTGCATTTTATCAAACATGAAAGTTCCCCAATACTTCTATAAAAATAGATTATAATATACATTATAATTGTTCAACGAAAAATTAAATTTATTTATACCATATTATCTACATTATGTGCTGTTATCGACAATTTGAAAGATAATATTTCCACCATTCAAACATTGAAACATTTAATGTATAATGTATATATTATATAACTAATAAGTAATAACTATACCCTTAGTAGTTGGTAGTTACTATGTTTTTTTATCGTTAGTACTACTGCCGTCTGTCACGATCCGCGAGTTACGACGAGTGACGTGTGTTATAACTTTTTATTTTCATTTATTTTTGAATTTTGTGGCTTTGTGTTTCTTTTTGGTGTTATTTTTTCACTCGGAATGTCTTCGTCGGAAAACAGCGAATTTTGTGTGTGTGGAAAAAATAGACACACAATGAATACAACAAATTGGACACGTCATTTAAATGCATGTAAAATTAAGAAAGCAAATCAGTCTAGTCCAAATATAGCTTCTTTCTTTACTTCAAGTCATAGTAAAAAACATGAATTAGAATATAATTCTAAAGACGAATCTGTAAAGAAAAATAAAACTACTTTAAGTATTGGTAAGTGTATTCATATTTGTATTATATATTATTGAATGTATAAAAATATTTTCAATTTCAGATCCTGAATTTAAATTGCAGCATAAAAATGAAACATTTAAATCGCAATCCTCATCGACCTTTATACCACCTAAAGACAAAACAAGGTACCTATAATTAAATATTTTATAATAATATTTTCCCATTGCACATTACACAAAATATAAATAAATGTAATATACATGTAGCGCTAGGGTCTATACATGATAAACAAAAACCAAAATTTAAAAATCTTGATTAGAAAAAAAGTTATTCTAAAAGCTAGTTCTATCTGTGACACCCTATATATTAATTACACTTTTTTTTTAATTGTAGTTGTTTATATGAAAATAATACACAAAACCTAGGGAGTTTGGCTGCTTTGGAAGTGACCAAAAGTTACCTGTCTGAAGTACAACATAATACTACCGATCCAAATTTGTTTGTAAATACAACAAGGTAAATTTAAATATCTATCTATTAAAATAATAATTTTTTTAAATGGTTTTAATATTTGATTGTTAGTCTGGAAAATAAAAATAATGCCAGTACCAACAATCAGCATAAAATGATGTCACCTACATCTCCATCAACCACAATCAATACTTTCTTACCATCAGAAGTCACTGCAAGGTAAAATGTAATACTTATTTTTGAAAAAAAATAACCAAATAGGGTTGTCAATATTTTTAAATTTGTTTTTATCCATATTTAAATATTAGATACAGCTGAGTACCAGCTTTACATATACTTAGTTTTTCCTATCCCTACTAAGTTACAGGATGTCTTATATCCAAAATGTATGCGGTTCCAGTTTCTGTATGAGTAAAGTTTAAAATAAATTTAAATTGAATAATAAAAATAAAACTGTTGTGTGATTATAACTAGTATAATATTAATATATTGTATAAATTAAAATATGTTTAAATAGGTAAATTTTAAAATAAATGTAATTATAGTCCTGTGTATTATAATGACTAAAATAATTCACCATAAAACCATTTTCCCCTTCGAAGTTCGAACATTGCTCTATTGACAGTGAAAATTAACACAATTATAAAGCATAATAAAATATACCTATAGGTAGTATTATTTTGATTCATATTTTTGTATTATAGTTGCTCAAATGAAAATAATCCACAAAACTTAAAGAGTTTGGTTGCTTTGGAAGTTACCAAAGCTGATGGTATTTTATTGTCTGAATCACAACATAATATTAGCGACCCAATTTTGTTTGTAAATACAACAAGGTAAATTTAAATATCTATCTATTAAAATAATAATTTTTTTAAATGGTTTTAATATTTAATTGTTAGTCTGGAAAATAAAAATAATGTCAGTACCAACCAGCATAATATGATGTCACCTACATCTCCATCAACAACGATCAATAATTTCTTACCATCAGAAGTCACTGCAAGGTAAAATGTAATACTTATTTTTGAAAAATAATAACTAAATAAGTTTATTAATATTTTTAAATTTGTTTTTACCCATATTTAAATATTAGATACAGCTGAGTACTTAGTTTTTCCTATATAGAACATTGCACTATTGATAGTGAAAATTAATAAAATTATAAAACATAATGTAATATACGTCAGATAGTATTACTTTAATTCTTTTATTTTTATTGTAGTTATTCAAATACAAGTAATCTACAAAACCTAGAGAGTTTGGCTGCTTATGAAGTTTTTAAAGCCGATGGTCTTTCATTGGCAGAATCACAACATATTAATGATCCACATTTGTCTATAAATGTTAAAATCTCATCAGCTCTTCTACAAATGCTAATCAATCTTGGCCCTTTACAACCAGTCAGTAAAGATTTGCCAGGAGGAGAATTTCCTAAATCTTTTTCTAGTGGTACTGAACGGTCATTTTCAGAAGTTTATTATAAAAAAGAAACTAACAATGATACCCATAGTAGACAATGGCTTGCCTATTCTTTAATAGTAGACCGTGTATATTGCTGGACTTGTCGCTTATATGGTACTCCTAAAGCTCAGAATAATATATTTTCTATGACCGGATGTAATGATTGGAAACATTTATCTATTCGCTTAAAGGAACACAAATCTAGTAAAGTCCATTTAGAGTCAGAAATTAGTAAAGCAATGTATGTCGGTCAAAATCGAATAGATTTATTACTAATTAGATCTGGAAATTCTCAAGTATCGAAGAATCGGGAAATTGTCAGAGTATTTATGGATATTATTTTGTATCTTTCAAAATATGATTCAGCATTTCGCGGCCACAATGAAAAATTGTTAAAAATTGTCAATCAAGGAAAGTTTATAGGCCTCACTAAACTTTTATCTAACTATCATCCAATATTATTAGTTCATCTAGAAAACATGAATAATACTGATAAAAAAAAAGACTCACTTTCATGTCGAAAGATTCTCAAAATGCTATGTTAGAAGCTTTAGCGGAAACTCTTCGTGACGAAATCTTACAAAAAGTCAAGAACGCTGGTATGTTTTCTGTCATAATTGATACTACAACAGATAATGCGAAGATTGATCAATTAGCATTTGTTATACGATATTGTTCTGATGATGGTGAAGTTTTTGAGCGTTTAGTTGGTATTGATGAAGTAAACGATTCTTCTGGAAAAGGGATGTTTGATTTATTTTGTGAATTATGTGAACGCTATGGATTAAACTGGAGAAAACAACTCATTGGACAGGCATATGATGGAGCTTCCAATATGCAAAGTGAGTTAAAAGGCCTTAGAGGTTATATACAAGCTCAAAATCCATGTGCTTTACATGTTTGGTGTTTTACACACTGTTTAAATTTGTCAGTGGTTGATGCATTTAATGCAAATGAAAAAGTAATGAATTTTTTTGGAACTATACAAACATTAGTTACCTTTCTAGTGTTACATGCGGCTATTTACTTACATTTATACGTACAGTGCCAAAAGGAATTATGTCCACCTACTCAGCGAATAAGGCGTCTTAAACACTTTTCTTATACCCGTTGGACATACCATGACCGGGCGATTGAAGCAGTTCAAATAACTTATGGAGCCATTTTAAAAACACTTAAGACATTAAGTAATCAAAAATCAAATGAAACCGATATGAAGTCAAAAACATTGGACTACTAAAATCATTAAATTCATTTGAGTTTATAGTAATTATGTTTATGATGAGGAAAATATTTAATTCTACCACACTCAAGGCAACTAGAAATGAATTATTCCATTTAAGAAATTTAGGAAGAGAACAACTCCTTGAATGTTTTATTAATGAAGCGAAAACTTTCTGTGAGAAATTTGAATTAAATGAAAGAAATTGGATATGGAAACGTATTAGTTTAAAAAAAAAAATGGATGGAGAATTGTCAAATGACGAAAGATCAAATTCAACCGAAGACAATTTTGTAAGTGAAGTTTATAATATTACACTTGATAAAACAATCATGATGATTGATAAACGGTATTCTAACGCTGATCATATTCTAAAATATTTGACATTTTTTTCTCCTGACAAATTTGGTGAAGAATCCCCTAAAGATATTTTTAAAAATATAGCACAATGGTTAACCACAGTGAATGAGGAAAATTTAAGTGTGGAATTTGAAATATTTAAAAACTATTTTGATGAACTAAATTCAAAAAATGTTGATTTAAATATATCCAAATTGTTTATAAGTTGCCAAGATGCAGAAGACACAGAAAATAGTGATGATGATATTCAAACGGAAAGTATCGGAAAAATCAAAAAGTCAGATTTTAAAATGGTCCAAATCTTAAAATTGTTATGCAAGTTTAATTTGGAATCAGCATTTCCAAACTTATATACAGTCTATAAAGCAATATGTACACTTCCTCCAACTTCAGCGACAGCCGAAAGAACCTTTTCAAAACTCAAATTAATAAAAACCAAACATAGGTCGGCAATGGGTGAGGCTTGACCATTTAATGGTATTATCATGTTCACCAGATATAGATATAAATAAAGAAAAGGCTATTGATAGGTTTGCAATGAAATCCAAATTATTGCAAACAGATCTGTTGTATCAGTAATAATTTTATAATTATGATTGTTATTTTTTATTCATTTTTTATATGATGATCCTTAGAATATAATATAATTTATAATAATGTATATTTTTCTTGTCTTGTATTTTCTATGTTTTATATTCATGTCTTCAGTTCTGTGGAGTTATGCAGACATATTTTCAGACATTGTGAACGCATCCCTTTAATCTGTGAAAATAAACCTGTTGATAGTTTTATAAAAGTACTATTTACTTCATATGTTTATTATGTTACTGAATTGGCGATATCTATCATAATATTTCAAAATTGATAAGTTATAACCATGACTATTTTGAGTATTTTTATTAATATTATTATTTATTTAATTTATACAGAATGAATATTTAGTAAACATTTAGATTGTAGTTTTAAAATAGTATAAAAATTAATATTAGTATGTTAAATATGCCTAAATCATTCATTAGGTAACTCAAGCAATTTATAAATAATATTTGAAAAGTATGTTTTACTAAAATAAAATTTATAATTTTACTTAGGTTGGTCTTAAATAATATGATAAACCCAACAAATACAAACTATAATACTAATATTTATAAATAATGATAATTATGGAATATTTTGTATGATACAAGACATTAGCATTTAAGTTTTTAACATATTATAACATTTTTTTTTTTTTTTTTTTTTTTTTTATTTAAAAACAAATATACAATTATACATTAATTTGTACATTTGAATTACCTATCTTCTGTAAGCTAAGCTTGTGGCGAAGATAGGGAGTTACAATTGTTAAAATATATGCTTAAAATAAAAATAAATTTAAAGCACAAATTACGTAGTTATACAATATGGAAAGAGAGAGAAGAAAAAAAAGAAAACAAAGTTATAATAATATAATATCATAAAGTTAAACCTAAGTTACATTTAACGATACATGCAGCCATTCAATAATTAATTTTTTAGCATTATTATAATTATAATTAATATTAACATTTTTCTTTATAGAGAAAGGCATAGAATTATAATAAAAAGGACCAAGAAAATCAACAAATTTTTGACCAACTGATTTTTTAAAAAGTGATGTTTTAGCATCAAATGTACGAAAAGCTCTTTTTTTACTGAAAATATTTTTGTCAACCCACTGATCTAGGTGTTTAACCACCCACAAAATAGCCATTTTTTTGAATAAAAGGTCAACTGGTAATACATTGAGCTCCCTAAAGTTATGCTTAGTTGATCCAACATAGTCTGTCTTTTGTAAACATACGCGCACTATCTGATGTTGATGAAGCAATAAAGGTTTCAGAGCGTTATCCGAGAGTCCTCCCCAGATTAACAGACCATATTGGAATATAGCTTGATATAGAGCTAAATATACAGTTCTCATGACATGAACAGATACAATTTTTCGTAGCTTATAGAAACTGTAATTTAGACTTCGAAGACGCATGACTATGTTATTCACATGAAGATTCCATCTCATGTGGTTGTCAAACGTTAAACCTAGATATCGGGTACTAGATACTCTAAATAATTTTTGACAAACCATGCCGTTACACAAAGTTCCATTTTCACAGAAATGTAACATAAGTTCATCAAAATTATCTTTAACATTATTAGTCGAAAAGTTCATAAACATAGTTTTTTTAAAATTGATAGATAGACTTCTAAGTTTTATAGTTGGTGAGCCACCAAAAGAACTTTTAAAATATTTGGGTAAAGATAATCTTTTTTGTACTGTTTCCCAATTTCAATACTATAATGATCCACCTATATGTGGTCATTTATGTTTAGAATTTATTGAAAATTATAAAAAATTTATTTAAATATTTTATTTTTTTAATAGAAATATTTCTATTAAAAATAACAACTTGTTTAATATATATTTAACAACGAGTAAACGAGTAAACGAGTCGTTGTTTTTTTACGTTAACTCGTTGACGTTGTTTTTTTACGTTAACATTGTTTTTTAACAACTCGTTGTTTTAATAATTCGATGTTAAAAAAAAATATATTTACTAATATAAATAATAGAAATGGAAAATATCAAAACACTTTTAAATATGATTGAACAACAACGTAAAATCCTAAGACCTATATTTAATGATAGTGATATTGATATTGATATTGATTCTGAAATTAATAATATATTATGGAATCAAATATTAGATAATTGTTGTTACGAAAATGTTGCAAAATATGATTATTACAAAAAACATAATCAATTAAAATCATTTAACTTCCGTTTCATTAGTAATTGTTGTTTCGAAAATATTTTAAGTTTTATTAAAAACAAAAATTATAATGAAATTAAACTTTCAATAAACGAACTACGTAAATTAATACAAGAGGAATTACATGATTCGAATAATAATAATAATAATAATAATAATAATAATATGCAGCTAGAATGATTATTTTTTAAACTTTGAAAATTTAAATCGAATATAATACTTACGAAGTATTATATATAATATTATAGTACCTATACAGTGTGGTATAATAATAATAATAATAATAATAATATATATATCAACGTTGTACTGATTATTTTTTTAACATCCGGTATTGAATACCTTATTATAATATATATGTATAGTTTATATTATGATGTTTTTTTATCGAATTATTTAAATAGTGTTTAAATAATCATTATACATGCCCAAGTGTTGTAGCTCAGTGGTTAAGGCATTTGATTTAAATGTGTTCTTGGTCGGATTGAAACTAGTGGGGGGATGTGTAGCGCTGCATATTCACCTACTAATTTCGTCAGGCTTTGAAGACGTTTACGGTAGATTGTATAGGTGGGTGCACACACCTATGCAATCTACTGAAAAACTGTCGTTGACCTGCTGAATAAAGCACTTGGGTAACTTCACTGCCCACGATAGCTTTGCAGATATCTGTAAAAGAGTTCCGGCCTCCTTTTTTCCTAACGGGTATCTGCAAAGCTGGGAATGATTTTGTAAATTTTTTGCATTTTTTTCCGTTTTTTCCATCAAAATTATTAAAAATAATACGGTCGTATAAGTCCTATATTTCATTTAATATTTGATATTATCAAGTCGGAACAACACAGATATGTTTTATATACTTATCTACACTACATATTAAAAGTTTACCCCCCGCTTCATATTTTTCATTTAAGTATAACTCCGTTGCTATTTATGTTAGAATCTTTATTTTTACATTAAACATTTTTGATTTTAATTCTTTATAAGTCCCCCTCATAGTATCATAGTGTAAAATCGTTTTCAAAGATTTTTGGATTTTAATAACGCGTGTCCGAATGGTACACACGTTAAATATTGAACATTTCTAGAACAATTCTATTAAAAAATTAAATTATTAATATAGTTATATTCTAAGTATTGTCATACCAAAAGAACATATTTTAATATCTCCTAAAGTTTTCATTACAATAATATTATAGAGATATCTGAATGAATCTGTACTGTTTGTAATTATTTGATCATTAGCTATTTTACAAAGTTCTAACCAAGTTGGTGATCGTATACATTTAGAAACATAAACATAATTTGGTTCTGAATGGTTCTCGATGATTAAAATTTTTCCTTTAATTTGAATTTCATTAAGATTATATTTTATTATATTTTCATTATTTTCATAATATTCAAAAGCACAAAATTTCACATAACATTTTTTTATTTTTTTATTTAATATATAGTTTTCTACTTCGTTTTGCATTTCGATTTCTTGTAACTTATTATAATTTTTTATAGTTTCCATTCTTTTATTATAAATATCAATTCCTTTAACTAAAGTATTCAATTTCTTTAAAAATATTTTTTAATACACTATATTACATTTCGATTTTAATTATTAATATCTTAAGTATTATGAAAAATGTTTTGGGGGGTTTTTGTATTTAATAAGTTTTGCGAAAAATGTTTTTATTATTATTACATTTCAATTTTTATTTTTAATAATTAAGTTTTGTGGAAAATATTTTTATTATTATTGCATTTCATAAGTTTTGCGAAAAATGTTTTTAATTATTATTGCATTTCAATTTTCTGAACTTTTTGCACATTGTTTTCTTTGTGATCTTTTACTGATATATTATGAGGTGCGCCAGGAATGGTACATATATACTACTGATATCTATAATAGAACCTTAGTTAAAGGAGAGTAGCCCAACCCTTTCTTTCTTATGTTTATTAGGAATATTTTTTTTTTTAAATTTTTTTTAAACTTTCTGTATTTTCACTATAACCTAAAATATTTAATATTATTTAAATGATATTATTAATAGAAATTATTCTATTAAAAAAATGAATTTAAAAAAATAATATTTTCTATAATAAAGAATGGAAGGATTAAATAAAATTGAATCTTTAATTAAAGAAATTGATATCAATAATAAAATGGATGTATTAAATAAAAAAATATAACCTGCTAAAACTTGTGGTAAATGTAATTTAACAGTTGGTTGGAAAAATTGGTCTGGTCATTGAAATCTATTCACCATCAAAAAAATGATATAGATCAAACATTTGTACCTTTTAGATTTAATAAAACATACAAAGGTATACCAATTAACCAATAAAAACAAAAAAATATAATTTTTTGAAATTAATACAAAATAGTATAAAAAAAAGTATAAATAAAAATAATTGTTATGTGAAATTTTGTGCTTTTGAATACTATGAAAATTCTGAGAATGTTAAATATAATCTAAATTAAATTCCAATTGAAGGAAATATTTTTATTATTAGTCAAGGAGATGTTGATTTTGGAAATGGAAATCCTTATATTTCTAAACTATTACATTCACCAACTTGGTTAGATCTTTGTAAAATAGCTAATGAGCAAATTATTGCAACAAGTGATTATCATCACTATTATCTAGACAATATTAAGATTGTTCAAGATTTAGGAAATATTAAAA